ATAATAATTTAATTTCACAGTTTAATTAGCGCAGGTAGTGTTTGCTCATTATCCTAAGTCCCTTCACTTTGAAGAAGTAGTATGTGAAAAATACCTAACAATTTAGTGTGTTATTCCTCAGGCAATGCAGACCGAAGGCACTGTAAATTCAGACCGGATCCTAACATCCCTCTAATGTTTAGTGCTGTCAATGAAGACTACCTTGGGAGTGGATGGTCACGAGGACACATGGCACCAGCCGGAGATAACAAATTTTCAACAGTAGGATTTTTTTTCTTTCTTTTTAATTTGTGTTTATCAGTCGGAAAGGGTCAAAAGACCCTTAAAAGTAATGTGTAATGTTCCTTTTGCAGTTTGTTTTGAGATGGAACATGATCTCATTATTGATGCACAGACTTGGACTTGGAGTTACAAGGTCTATTCCTGACTAAGCTCTCACAGTCTGCTTCAGGCATCTAAATCAGGTGCATGCTCTGGTGACATACCTCTCTTCATTAAATCACACCTAGATTAGCGTGTTTGGCAGAGATGATGTGAGTATATCTTGTACAGTATAGTGTTAAGCAAGTCTTCTCAACCTCTTGTATGTCACATTGTCTGCCTGTAAAATTAAGATGATAACCTTCACCAAACAAACCTCAAAAGTGTCTTCTGAAGCTCAGTTAACGGGAGACAGGGAACGATGACTTCATTCTGGCCAACAGGTGCCGAGATGTTTAAGGCTAGATTGGGCAAAGCAAAGATGCTGTTAAGTACTGTTCTGTATTGGCAAGGGGATTGCCGGGATGATTTAAAAGGCTTTTTCCTTTCTGGCAATGTGTATGAGGTAAATTAGAACCACCTTCTGCCATAGTTCTTTCAGTCTATAAAATGTCTTCACCTGCCATTTATTTGATCTGTAAGAAAAGCATGCCCTAATGCCTTGGCTGACTAACAAAGCAGCCTTGGATTTATTGGATCCTCTTGTGAAATGTGCCTAATGCAGCAATTTGTCAATTAAGAAGCAGTTTGAATTTGTATTTCTGCCAGGCAGAATAGTATGCAGTGGGGCAGAGTAGCAGCGCAGTGGCATGTGGTGGATGAAAGAACCAGTCATTTTATTTCTACTGGAAGTGTCTTTGCGGTTATTTGTTTGTGATATCTGGGGAGTTTTTGCTGGTGAGCTGCCTGTGCAGAGACATCCTGGACCTGGCTTGAAATGCAGTGAGGTGATACAATCTTTCAAATACAGATATATAAATATAATAATTTAATTTCACAGTTTAATTAGTGCAGGTAGTGTTTGCTCATTATCCTAAGGAGTTCTGTCAGTCCCTTCACTTTGAAGTGGTAGAACGTGAAAAATATCGACAAGTACAGGATCTGTGAAGATTCTGGGTTAAGATCTTGTATATTTTTTCTCCTGTATTTCCCTGCATATGCGTAGTTTTTTAGTGCCAGGTCCTCCGTACCTGGAGATATGTGGGCTCCAGTTTAGAGAGGTTTATGACACTTTTTAAAGATAAAATTAAACAGATATGTAGATGTTTGACCATTATGGTCTCATAAATCATTTCATCACCTGCATGTTACGCATTTGTAAAATACTGATGAATATTTTTAATAAAACCTTTGCTTGTAAGGGAAAGCAAAAGCTAGGCATCAGGCAGTCAAATAAATGAAAATCATGGGTGAAAGCATCCTTCCCATTCAAAAAGAAGAGTAGCTAGTTTCTTCCAAAGATGTTACAAAACTGAACTGACACTGTGTAATATAGTATTTCCTGTGCCTCTAGAATTGGACATTCTTCTGCTATGTTTCTGTCAAAAAAAAAAAAAAAGTAGATCTATTTTGCAAGGTTTACACCCCAATTATGCAACTCTTAATCCAAAATAATTTTGTAGATGTTCTGACTTAGGTTTTGTCTGACCTTTTATGTTGATAATGTTAAGACTAAACTAGAAATGGATTCTGATCCAAAAACTTCTAAAATGTGTTTTCAGCTTGTAAATGTTTCAGTGAAATTATGTTATTTTCTTTCTGTATGCAGAGAGCTATGGCTGAAACGTTTTATCTGTCTAACATTGTGCCTCAGAATTATGAAAATAATGCTGGATTTTGGAACAGGTGAGAAATTACTTTTAAGTAAGCTAAGTGAAAAATATCGGGAAGTGGCTTAAATCAAAAATGCTATATTTATAAAACTTCTTCACATCCAAGTATTCTAGAGCACTTTATAGGCTATCTGTAGAGATCATAGCAACTTTCTCTGAAATGAAAAGCACCTCAGACCTCACAGTGCAAGAACAGTATAACGACTGCTTTAGTTCTTTATTCAATCAAAGTGTAGAGGACATTTATTTAGAATAGATAAAATTACTTCTTCTGGCTGATGTGGGTAAAGGTACCAGGCTTAACATGTCTGTCCTTGAGGAAAATTCAGTAGAAGCAAGGAAAGGGTTTAGATCTTGCTTTAACATCTCTTCCTCAGAAAAGCGCTTCCCATGTGAGAGTATTCACATCTCTGTATGTGGACATTGGTTCACTTTGAATTAGAGAACTGAGTACTCCCCACTGAGTTGTGACTACTTCAGGTCTTAGGTGTTCCTTCGGGTGCTGGCTTCCAAGTAGCAGTCCGGCAGGTTCTCTGTCACTTGTGAACGCTGGCTGGATTGGCTTTGAGGTGAAGTGAGTGGTTGATAAATTTAAACTTTCTTCATGTAGGATTTTTATTCTTTTCTTCCTTTGAGCAGAGAAAAACATTAATAAAGGTAGCGTTCATCCAGTGCTTCTTGCATAGGACTTACAGAATGTTAAGATTCAGAAACAGGAGGGGAAAATGATGAATTTCACAAGGTTCACTCAAGGGAAGGTTAGCAAAATTGTGTACAGTATTGTACTAAAAGTTTATCAAAAATGCATCATCATTCAACTACACAGTGCTTTCCAGTTTTACAAGAGTGCGTATAAAATCATATGAGGCATTCAGTAAGGTTATACTGTTTTATAGACAAATAAAACGCCATAACATTTTAAGAGATTTTTTGTATTGTTTTAATACCTTAAGTATTTGAGCGTAAAATTTCCTTATACCAAAGCTAGGCATTTGTGCCAATTCAAGGTTGGAAACCCTCTTTATTTCATCAGAGCAGGATCTCTGTCTAATCAGGAAATCATGGGGAGTGTTTGAAAATTTCCCCTGACACTATCAGCCCTGCAATTTAAGCAGTTATTATCACTTTCTCCCAACCCCAGCACCCTATCCCCACAGTTTAAATACATGAACAAGGTATTTGTGCCACTTGTTTCGTCAGTCACTTGTTTAATGATCAATAGTTTTAAGGATACCGTGTTTCACGTGTGTTGTATTCCTTCCTGGCTTCAGTACTCTCTTTCTTTCTCTTTTTTTAATTGCTTGCTTCTTGAATTGTCTTCTGAGGTGCAGGAAAACAATACAGCTTAGTCAGTTTAACAATCTGTTGTTTTTTAAAGTGGTGTTCGCCCTCCAGCCATGTGTTTTTGCTGCTTTCCCAGTTCCAGCTCTGGTACTAGCCTGACTGTGGCAAGTCAATTCCATTTGGTAACCCAGTTAAACTGATTCGCATTTTGTTTTGCTTGGTTATGTTTCTGCCAGATTAGAAAATTGGATCAACTGGTGAGATGAGTGCCAGAGCCAACACGGAAGATGGAGTAGGACTGTTCAGCTGGGCAGACAAGGGGAGCAGTAGGAAAGGGGAGAGCAGGACTGCATCTTTCAGCAAGCTATTAGATAGTAAGCTATTAGATTGGTTCAGTGGTGTGCTCTACTGCACCTTAGTATTTATTCCTCATTTTCTTCCCACCAACGTGCATGCTTCTTTCTTTCCTGATGTTTAACTGTCGTTTTCTGTCTTGAGTGCGATTTCATGGTCACTGTAATCTGATCTCTGTCCCTGCTGCCACCAAAAGCAGTTTGCTTCCTAGCTGCATTTATTCCCATTCTTTCCTTGTGCCAGGTGGTGTTTGTATTGCCATGCCGTCAGACAGCCTGAGGGGCTGAGCTGCTTGGAAGAAAAGCTGATGACAACAGGAAAAAAATTAGCTTGTGGTCAATGCTTTGGCATATGACATGGCAGCTCACTATTACCAAAGAAGAAGGGGCGCA